AAAAAAAAAAAAAAAAAGAATATGAGTATCACTGAAATTAGCAAGGTACCTGCACTGTTTCCCAGGTTTCAGTTTGCATTTTTTCCCTTCTTGATTTGCATCAAAGCAGCATTCATCTTTACACTGGTCACTATAACCACAATCACATTCTTCACCTTGTTCTACCATTCCATTTCCACAAATAGGTTGGCCAGATTCTGAGGAAAATAAACAAGACAAGGTAAGCATTGTATGCACACATTAATTTTATTTAAACTTCACAAACTCTTTAGAGCATCATAACAAAGGGATAACGGAAAACTCTGATGAATAAGTAGAGCAAACTAGGAATCTGGCAATCACGAGACAATTCTAACAGGGGTTCTGCAACTAACAAGCAATGAGATCTTAGGCAAATCATTTCCATTTTGGGGCCTTCAGTTTCTTAATCTGTATAGTGTGGGGATTTGACAGAGGGTCCCTTCCAGAAATGGTAACTTGCTATTTGAGCCATGCTATATTGAGCTTTATTGACTTTACTATTTATATCAAACAAATACAAATCAAGTTAGTGCTTCATTAACCAGAAAAAAAAATTAAGCCTTTTTTGCAACAGATAATTTCGAACATACATAAAAGTAGTAAAAGAATACATACAATGAACTCCCATGTACCAAACACTCATCTTTAGCAACTATCAACAATATGCTGTTCTTGTTTCATTTACTCTCACAATTTTTTTCTGGAGTATTTTAAAACAACCCCACCTAACATATTATTGTCCCTGTAAATACTTCAGGATATATTGCTAAGACATGAAGACTTTTTCTTCTTTAAACCTAACTATAATAACCATGATCACATCTAACAAAATTAATAACATGCTTAATAACATCTAACAGCCAAGTCACATTCAATTTTCTTCAACTGTCTCTTTACAATTTGTTGCTGTGAATCAAGTTTCAAACAAGGTTTTCCTAACCCCAACTCCTCCCCTCATGGTTGCTTTCTGACAGTTCTCTTATGGTCTTTCAATGTATAATAGATTTCCCTATTTTTATTTATTTTTACACCATTGACCTGTTAAAGAAGTTGGGTGATTTGTCTATGAAATGTCCCACATTCCACTTAGCTGACTGTAAATACAATCAGTAAGTAATTTTTTTTAATGTACATTTGTTTTGCTGCTGAGCTAAACTAACCTCCTTAAGGGGTCAAACATGTATCATTTATATCTTCTGTATTCTCACAGACCCTAACAGTATTGAGTCACATCTAGGTTGATTAAGGTTAGACAGTCTCATCTAAGCACAGTGAATAATTTTAGAAAATTTCTTCAGCAGTCTTCTAAAGTTCTTTGATTTTTGTCAATGGAATTTAAAATTGGAATAGAAATGCTCCTCGTTGTAAGATCATAAAATCAAAGAGCTTCAGCAACTGCAGAGAATGATAAAAAATCAAATGCCTTAAATGTTCTAGGAAAGAAAACTAACTTCCAGGGAGTTTGTAACTTGATAGAGACCACATATCCCAGTATGGGCAAAATACAGACTAAACCTAGGCTTTTCTAGGTCTACAATCTGGTGCTCTTTTCTTTCCACGACACCAAATCAATGTGGAAAACAGTCATCGTACAGGCTTTAAATTAAGAATTGAGTAAGTAATAGGGAACACATACATCTCAACACAGGAACCTAATATGAGGCCCATCTAAATCAAAAATGTTCTAGAAACACTGGCTTTATATTCAGCGAATTATTTCTTTATAGTAAATCATCTTCCTTTACTTATAACTGCAATATAAAATAGAAGCTTGGTATGAACACATGCACACTCACACCAGCCCAGAAGGAAGGAGCCGGGACAAAGCCACTTGGCAACAGGACTGGGACCCCAGACCCTCAGAGCACACAGGTGCCTAGCTGAACCCCGATTTCAGGGCCCCCAGGGACGTTGCCATGGAGGCCCCTGCTCTCCAGAACTGAACTGGCCTGGGTGAAAGCAGAAAGTTCATTCTTAACCACATCGACTATTTTTAAAAATCTTAGAGGTTACGGAAGCTTCATCCCTGTTTCATTTTAGCCAACTTTTTTGCTCTCAAAAACTAGAAGCATGCACTATTTACAATAGCAAACACATCAAACCAACCCAATTGCCCATCAATGATAGACTAGATAAAGAAAATGTGGTACATATACACCATGGAATACTATGCAGCCATAAAAAATGAGATCATGTCCTTTGCAAGGACATGGATGAAGCTGGAAGCCATCATCCTCAGAAAACTAACACAGGAACAGAAAACCAAACATCACATGTTCTCACTCAAAAGCAGGAGTTGAACAATGAGAACACCACATGTTCTCAATCATAAGTGGGAGCTGAACAATGAGAACACATGGACACAGGGAGGGGAACAACATACACAGGGCCAGTCTGGGAGTTGGGACGAGGGGAGGGAGCATATTAGGACAAATAGCTAATGCATGTGGGGCTTAAAACCTAGATGACAGGTTGATGGGTACAGCAAACCACCATGTAACAAACCTACATGTTCTGCACTTGCATCCCAGAACTTAAAGTGAAATTAAAAACAAAACAAAACAAAAAAAAAACAACTAGAAGTGTGCATTTGCACATATAATACTAGGTAAAGAATAATGAGTTTTATAAGACTAGTAATAATTGTATAATTCACATGACATAATTCAGAAGAAAACAAAAAATGAAGTCAGAAAAATGTTAGATACATTATTTACTATGTATTAATTTTTATTTCATATAAAATTAGTACTTCAAGTTAGATATTTGCTAATAGCTTAAACAACAGTAAAAGTACTGTGTTTTTGTTTGTTTATTTGAGATAGAGTCTCTATCGCCCAGGCTAAAGTGCAGTGAAGCAATCTAGGCTCACTGCAGCCTCCACCTCTGGGGTTCAAGCGATTCTCATGACTCAGCTAAGACTACAGGCACGCACACTATCACGTGTGGCTGGTTTTTGTATTTTTTGTAGAGACAGGGTTTCACTATGTTGGCCAGGCTGGTTTCAAACTCCTGGTCTCAAGCAATCTGCCTGCCTCAGCCTCCCAAAGTGCTGGGACTACAGGCGTGAGCCACTGCACCCAGCCTAAAAATACTGTTTAAATGCAAAAATTGTAATAGGTACACATTTTGTCATAATTTAAGAAAAAATCTCCTTTCCTATAATACCTATAAAGCAGTATGTACATTTAAAAAAATCAACTTATATCAGAAGGTTTACTGTAAAAACCCAGTTTACAAATGAAGAATCTTAATGTACCTGCACATTAAGAAGCACTGGAAAACCAACCATTGATAGTAACAACAATAACAAAAACAATAACATCAATGTAATTTCAATCTGCCCTTTTAAAAGAAAAAGAAGGCTTTAAAAGATAAGGCTGGCCAGCACAGTGGCTCACGCCTGTAATCCCAACACTTTGGAGGGCCAAGGTGGGTGGATCACAAGGTCAGGAAATCAAGACCATCCTGGCTAACACGGTGAAGCCCTATCTCTACTAAAAATACAAAAAAATAAGCTGGGCAGGTGCCTGTAGTCCCAGCTACTTGGGAGGCTGAGGCAGGAGAATCACTTGAACCTGAACCTGGGAGACAGAGGTTGCAGTGAGCTCAGATTGCACCACTGCACTCCAGCCTG